TTCATGTCAGCATATAAAAAGTTTCCTCCGTTCTTTTTTTTTTTTTTTAATATATTTTATTGATTCTTTACAGAGAGGAAGAAAGAGGGATAGAGAGTTAGAAACATCGATGAGAGAGAATCATCAATTGGCTGCCTCTTGCACATCTCCTACTGGGAATGTGTCTGCAACCAACGTACATGCCCTTGGCTGGAATTGAACCTAGGACCCTTCAGTCTGCAGACCTACGCTCTATTCATTGAGCCAAACTGGTTTCGGCTCCTCCATTCTTTTTAAGACTACATAATGTTTGGTGGGGTGGGTGTTTCCTATTTAACCAGTCACATGCCAGTGAATATTCAAGTTGTACCTACTCGTTTGCTACATAGGATTGAACAACTTTGCACATGCCTTATTTTCCATATTTAAGAATCTCCAGGTATATTTTAAAGACTGGGATTGCAGGGCCACAGGATATGTGTCAGTTACATTTTGTTACATATTTTGGTGTAAATATGTACCTATCATATCTATTCACACTTCTACCAGCAGCGAATGAGAGTGCCTGTTTAGGGAGGATTGCTGAGTTTATTTGTTCACCTTAACTGCAGTAGGTAGAAGCAGCCAACTGGTCTTTAATTTCTCAAGGTCTGTCCAGGTATGAATGAATTAAACCATAGTCAGAGGTTTTCCACCCAGACATTAATCATTATATTTTTTGAGAAGCAGTTTGATCTCACACATACCCAAATCCATATAATAAATAGCTAGCAACATTATAATAGGAATCAACTGTCTTTTCCTTTTTCTTTTTGTCTTTTTCTTTTTCTTAAGGTATTATATGTGTACATATCTTTCCATTGCCTCCACTCACGCTCAACTGTCTTCTTAAATCACAGACCTTTGATTTCATTACTTAATGCATTTAATCGGCAATTAATGAAGACACGCATTTAATTAAGAAGTTGGATCGAATGCCTAAATCACATCATTTACAATTGTCTTGGCTAAAAGTCATTGCAGAGGTATCATTATTCATATGCTGCATCAGTAGGACTGAACCTAAAGTTCGTTAATGAAAATGAATTTAGTAAAGTGACTGCTGCCACTGTCTCTGTAGGGCCTGACCTTATTTGCAGATGTGGTTCTCCGGTGGAGGTCAGCCCTGCTTTGCGTGTCAGTGTGGTCTGACAGCAGCCTCAGGTCCTGGCCTGAGATACCATGTCACATTACTTCAGCGTGTCCTTGAGGTAGCCACGCAACCAGACTCCCCTCGGCCGCTGCCTCCTGATAGCTCTACAGGTAATTGCATTTGCAGTCTGAGGACATCTGTGCCCAGTGGATCAGCCCTGTGCCCCTGAAGTGCTTATCAGAGCGCCGGGAGAGTGGCTGTCCCCAAGGCCTCGCCACTGGCTCGCCAGTGCTGCATTTCATAAGCAAATTAGCAAATAGGTCACTGGACTGAAATGTGTACAGGAAGGAAATTGAACCCGCTGCCCTGTGCCACTGTATGCCATGATCCCAGATGAAATTTACTGATTTTTACTGGACCTGTGTTCGTGCTTTGGATTCATTCGGGGACTGTTTTGGTCCTTGTCACTAAGGCAGCGAGACCACGGTCTGACATTGAGGTGGGAAAATCCCTTGGAGCTGTAATATTTTAACTGTGATTATTGGTCTCTGGTATAAGCTGCCAGCTGGGTAGTTTCCTCCAAACTGATAGTAAATCTATAGTACTCTAGTGTCTAATATATTTTTTGTGGACCTTTTGAAAATACTTGGTTAGCAATATATTGGCCATGGAAACTCACTTATTTTGCATTAAGGGTTTTCTTTCAATATAAAAATTAATATCTAGTATTCTGTGGGGTTGTAGAACGGAGGAGATTACAATTTCTATCCATGAGCCCTCGCCGGTTTTGCTTAATGATTAGAGCATTGGCCCTCGGATTGAAGGGACATGGGTTCGATTCCAGTACCTCAGTTGCAGGCTCAATCCTCAGGCTGGTCTAGGCACGTGCGGGAGGCTATGGATTGAAGACTCTCTCTCACATTGATGCTTCGCTCTCTTGTTCTCTACCCCTCCCTTCCACTCTCTCTAAAAATCAATGGGAAAATAAAAATATCCTCGGGTGAGGATTAACAAAAAAAAATTTTTTTTCATCTCATGCATCCTTAAAATTAGGACCTCAGCATTCTAACCACACATTAGGATTGGAGTTTCTGAGTGAAATATAATAGGCCTCGTTTATGGTCACCAGCCCTGATACTGGTTACTGAGATTGAGCAGCTATTGTGTTACCATCTGAAAAGACACGAGTAAAGCATTAAAATATCGTATTTGTGATAAAGGGTCCTTCACTCGTTACCTACGGGCCAGAGTGTAATCAGCAGTGGTGGGGCTTCTGGTCAAAGAGGGCTCGCTGGGGAAGGGAACAGAGTTCTGAGCTGCTGCCAGGACCTTGAAGAGCAAAGTGTTTCACCGAACAGGTCTCCCAATTAGTTCGCTTATTGCACTCTGACAGGGAGCTTCTCTAACTCCCTCGACATGAGATGACTTTCATTTCAAATGGATGCCTGAGGCTTTCCTGATTAAAAACAAAATCACCGAAACTGGAAGGGGTCATTTATAAAAGACATTCTCTTTTATAAATAAATAAAAAGTAGGAAGCTATGATCTCACTCATTTATGGATAATAAAGAACATTATGAACTAATGAACCAAAAGATAGATACAAAGACAGTAAAACAACAAACCGACTGTCAAATTACAGCGGGGAGGGTAGGGAGATCTGGGGGAGATAAGAGATCAACCGAAGGACACAACCAATGGACACAAAACTGGAGAGGGAAGGCATGTATGGAGTGTGGGGGGGGGCAATGGTAAGATATGTACACATATAATACCTTAATAATAATAATTAAAAAAAGTAGGAAGCTTTTCAAGTAATATTTTCCCTGTCTACATGCTGCTGGTGGAGGTAAACTTTTTTTAAAAAAAATATATTTTATTGATTTTACATAGAGAGGAATTGAGAGGGACAGAGAGTTAGAAACATCGATGAGAGAGAAACATCGACCAGCTGCCTCTTGCACACCCCCTACTGGAGATATGCCCACAACCAAGGCACATGCCCTTGACCGGAATCAAACCTGGGACCTTTCAGTCCGCAGGCCGATGCTCTATCCACTGAGCCAAACTGGTCCTGGCAGAGGTAAACTTTTTTGAAGGCTCAGTTTTAATGCAAAAGGAATGACTGCATTTTAACTAGTGGCCTGAAATGTTACTGGCTAGTGTATTTGTGGAATCTGTTATTCAAAGATATTGTTTCTTTTTAGTTTTTTTTTAACCCTAACTACTATTTTTCATAAAAAATAAATAATTTTTGTCTGTTCAGTAGGCTGCAGTACTATAGCAGAGCTGGTCAACCGACTGCATAATTTTGTTTAATGTGAACTCATGTGTTTTGGAATTTGATTCAACAAGCGTTGGTTTAAAAAAAATGAATTTTCAAGGTGCCTCTTTTATGGCTCTCTGGAACATTCTAGATTATGGTAAATAGAAATAGGTGCTCAGATAACCTTCCCTATGCCTTTCATTATTTTTATGAACTGAAGGATACATTTTAACATTCATTGAAATTATTATTCTCCGTATGGTGGTTTACTCCCTCTACTTTTAATTCTCCCACATTAACCCACCAAATGGCTAGTTATCTCTGCTCCTGTCTGCACATCCTGCCAGTTTTAGTTTGTCTTCAGGAGGAAAGGGGATACACAGCCAATGAATATTGAAAGAAAGACCCTACTCTCTATTCAGTGATGTTCCTATGAGAATGCTAGTCTATTACTTAGACTAGTATCAAAGAGATACCTCTAGTCAATTTTTAGTATTTAATGAGGAGTCTGAGAGTTTACTGTTTTTTTTAAAAAAATATATTTTATTGATTTTTTACAGAGAGGAAGGGAGAGGGAAAGAGAGTCAGAAACATCTACGAGAGAGAATCATCGATCAGCTGCCTTTTGCACCCCCCCTACTGGGGATGTGCCCACAACCAAGTTACATGCCCTTGCCCAGAATCGAACCCAGGACCCTTGAGTCTGCAGGCCGACGCTCTATCCACTGAGCCAAACTGGTCCCGACGAGAGTTTACTGTTTGTTCAAAATCAATTTCCCTGTCCACCGAGCTTGAGAACTACTGGTTTTATAACCATACAGTACTAGATATGGATTGAATCTACTAGTATATTAGTCAATGATTATTTTTTTAACTTAATTTTATTGTTTAAAGTATTACAAATAGTAGTGCATATGTCTCTTTTTTCTCCCCATTGACCTTCCCCCGGCCTCCCCTTCCCCCCTGCCACCAATGATTTGTTTTTTATTAACTCTTTCCAGAAGGCCACATAGAAAAGGCTTATGCCAATTTTATTTTTTTCCTAGTCCTGATTTATATTTCTTATCTTTTAAAAAAAATTATTTATTGCCCGGCCATTGTTGCTCAGTGGTTAAACATCAGCTTGTGAACTAGGAGGCCACGGTTGGATTCCTAGTCAGGGCATGTGCCTGAGTTGTGGGCTTAGTCCCCAGTAGGGGGCATGCAGGAGGCAGACAATCAGTGATTCTCTCTCAATATTGATGTTTCAATCTCTTTCTCTCTCTCCCTTCCTCTCTGAAATCAATAAAAGTATATCAAAAATTTTAAATTTATTGATTGATTTCACACAGAGAGAGAAACATCGATTTATTGTTCCATTATTTATGCATTCATTGGTTGCTTCTTGCATATGCCCTGACCAGGTATCAAGTCTATAACCTTGGTATATGGGGACAACACTCTAACCAATTAAGCTACCTGACCAGGGCATGTATCTCTTTTCCTTTTTAGATACCTAAATTTACCTGACATTAATAACTTTCGGAAGAGATGATTTAGATTTTAAAATGGAGTGAGGATTAAACCTAGGTGCCTCTCATTGGCCGCTAATGTTTTTCTTCTCACTCTATGTAACTGTCTTAGGACTTGCTCAGCGCTGTCGAGGCAAAGGAAGCTCTTGAAAGGGAAGTGCAGACCTTCCGAGAAAGGCTGCTTGCGGGCCAGCGGGCCTGGGATGCCTCGAAGCAGGAGCTGAGCCTCTTGAAGAAAGACTCCTGCGAGCTGGAGAGAAGGTTGAAGGCCAGCCTGGAGGCGGCCGAGGCCTCCCAGAGCCAGCACACCTCCTTTAGGGAGAAAATTGCAGTCCTCCTTAGGGGCAGCCTGGACATGATTGGGTCCACAGAGGAGGCCATTCTGGAGAAGATTCGAGAAATGGACAGCCAGGAAGAGAGACAGAAAAGGGTGAGTGAGGCCTCTTCAGTGCACTCATTCACGTAGCATCCTCAGTGACTGAGTTATCTGCGTGAGTGACAGCTATCATTTAAATGTGCTTTCAGTTTTACTTTCAATTCTGCATCGTACTTACCAAGCCTGAGAGTCACTCACGCAGCTGCTGGCTACATTGCGGGTCCGGAGTCAGAACCTCGAGGCGGATCCTGTCTCTGTCCCGCACTCCCTCCCTCCAGGTGTGAATGGGGGCCCGTTCCCCGAGTATGGCCCGGGCGGTTTTGTTCACTCACCTTCAGTACAGGGACAGCACGGTCCACACCCCTTTCCTGAAGCCCCTGGGGTCCAATGTGTTTTTGAATCCAGAATTTTTCGGAGGTTAGAGAGGCGATAGAGAAGGCAGTGTGACACAGTCCTCCTCCGTCACACACATTGCTCTGCGTGAGCAGCCCCTCCACGCGAGGCCCTCCCAGCTCCTGCAGAGTCTCACGTCACCTCAGGTCAGGGCTCACTGCCAAACCGGGCCTGTCAAGCTTTATGGGTAAATGAGTTACAGAAAGCCTGCCGGTTGCAGATGGTTTGGATTTTGGAATTGCAGGTGAGGGTTCTTAGACCCTAAAAGGACCTGTCTCATAAGGTGGTTGCTGACTGTAAGTGCTTAATGCAAAGCATGTTGTTAGCATGTCCTCTCTCCCTCCTTCGCCCCTCCTTTTGCTGATGTGGAGGTGCCTAAAACAGTCTTCTAGGGACCTATTTAACAAGTGGAGAAAAATGACTTAACGCACACCTATGACTGAAGCTTATTTAATTTTGTCATGTGGTTTATACTATGAGTGAATCTCATGTTCTGTCAAGTTTTGCTTCGTCCAGTCAACTTCAGCCCAACTCTAAGTTACTGTCCTCCAGCGCCAACGATTGAAGTTCTAAGCAATGAGGTTTAAAGTGAGTCATCCCCAAACTGTGTGTGCTCCCATGAGGAACTGTTTCTCCTATTGGCCAAAAGGAGAAAATTTGCATGTCTATTTTTTAATGTTCCTGAAAACCTCAGAGTGATCGTTAACTCACAGTTCAAGGCTGCACTTGTCAATTTCCTCTTGCACCATAGCCTTTTAAATCCCCTCAAGAATTCTGCAGCATTCACCTCTAGGAGCCACCCTCGTGACCGCTTTGTTCAGCCCGGGGTTCTTCTCTTTCTGAATATTGAGTGCTCGTCCTTGTGAGATGTGTGGGTCTGTGAGGGGAACCCCGTTTTCCTTGTGATTCAGTGCACAGATGGGCACTAGCGGGGGGGAGGAAGTTATTTACAGAATGGAGAGAGAAGAACTTCATTGGGCTCTTTACCTTGAATAGCAATAGATGCACTTCAATAGCTAATGGTTCTTTGCCATTTCATTTTGTCGCTTCCCTCTGCTATTTTCCCAAATGTCCTCTGAAGCTCTGTTAATTCCAGCCTGCGAAATGGGGCCCAGAATTGCCAGCATGATGTATATGTTTATTTTGTAAAGCAAAACGGTGTCAGTGGGTTAAGCTGTTTGGCCTTCCCCCACTTCCCGTAACAATCACAATGATTCCGCGTCTCTTCAGTGCCTTTGTCTGCCTTTCCCACCCTGTAATTTTTTTTAAATGGCAGCTCTCCCCGTTTAAAAGCCTGAAATCAAGCGTATTGCCAGCCTCTTGTGTGACTCATCTTCAAGTAAAATCAGGAGGAAATGGATTTTGTATATTGTCTTTGAGATGTTTCTGAAGAATGGGAGTCGGACAAATGGATGAAGGTGTTTGTTGAGGAGGCGGCGTACCTGCCAGTTGCTATGGTTAAATACGGTCAGAAACTGAGGGATGTCCATGTGGAGGCCCGGTGGTGGGTCCAGGCTGGGCTCTCCACTCCGTGTGGCCTCCTACGTACGGAACATCACTTTTCTTGTTTATCCCTTTGCTCCTCATTTGTGCTCTCGGGATTTGCAGTTCTCATCAGGACACCACCCAGGCTTTTCCAAGCAACCATTTCTACTTGTTCCTTGCTTTTGTGCCTATAGCAAAGTGTAATGTTCTTTTTTGTGAAAGCTTTATGATGTCTTAGAGCAGACTTCCTCAGCTGGGGCACTGTTGAAATTTGGGGCTGGGCAGTCATTTGTTTTGGGGCCATTCTGTGCCCTGTAGAGTGGTCAGCAGCAGCTCCGGACTTCTTCCCGCTAGATACCACTCACATTCCTTTTCCCCGCAACTTGTGACAACCAAACATATGTCCAGACAGTGCCATATGCCCCTGGAGGGGGGGTGAATTTACCCCCCGTTGAGTACCACTCTTTTCAAGAAACGTTCTGCTGTCCATTTCCAGGATTCCTACATGAGGATTTAGATGTTATTTAGCCTTGAAATTTCAGGACACTCGTTAACATGTGCTTTTGAAATGGCGTCTTGCACAATGACAGAAAGTTGCGACATTTTCAGGTTTTGGTTTAGAATTTTGTGGCCAAATTAAAAAAAAAAAAAAAAACTTTATTGTTGAAAGTATTACATAGGTCCTCCTTCTCCCCACACTCCATTAACCTTTTCCAGCTCACTCCCCACTCCCACCCTAGACCCTCACCGCCACATTATCTGTGCCTGCTGGTTATGCATATATACATACAAATTCATTGGTTAATCTCTTCCAACCCACCCTCCCCTGCCTTCCCTCTGAGGTTCAACAGTTTGTTCATGCTTCTATGTCTCTTGGTCTAGTTTTGATCATCAGTTTATGTGGTTCATTAGATTCCACATATGAATGAGATCATGTGATACTTATATCTCTCTGACTGTCTTATTTGGCTTAGCATAATATTCTCCAAGTCCATCCATGCTCCTGCTTTTTTAATTGCCACATAGTGTTCCATTGTGTAGATGTACCATCATTTTTTTAATCCACTCATCTACTGATGGGCAGGTAGGCTGTTTCCAAATCTTAACTATTGTAAATTGTGCTGCTGCGGACATAGGGGGAGGCCAAGACTTTTGTTTCCCTTTTATATGTTGCCTCACTGGTTAATCATCTGGATGAGAATTATGTCTGTGATTGATTTCCCTGTCATTTCCGAAATTAAAGATAAATTAATAGAGGCTCACAAACATTTATCTAGACCAGCTCTTCTGTTCTGCTTTATGTACACATGAGGCTCTGTTTTCCCCATTGGTGTGCATCTTGGTCTGACAGCTCTGTGGGAGCGGTGGGGACTCACCCTCATGCCCCAAAGGACTTGAGGGGTGTCCCACAAGTCCCTACGCCCCCTCTGAGCTTATCATTCTGCTCTGTTCTTAGTCTTCAAATCTAATACTAAGCAAACACTTACCAAGAAGCTTCAACAGACTCCCAGTGACCTTTCATTGTCCAAAAGTGTGTTACACGGTCACCCCTGGCTACCGGGCACTGGGAAGAGTGAACAGATAGGGATTTTGGCTCTCCCAGCCCCTAGACTCTAGGGCCTAGAGTGTATTAATATCCTAGGATAGCTGTAACAAAATACCAGGAACTGGAGGAGGAAGGGCTTAAACAATAATAGAAGTATATTGTCTCACAGCCCTGGACACTAGAAGTCCCAAATCAACCTGTCAGCAGGATTGGTTTCTTCTGAGGGTGTGATGGGGAATCTGTCCCATGCCTCTCGCCTAGCTTCTGGCAGCCTCAGCTACCACTTGGCTTGTTCTCTGTTTTCACATCAATTTCCTTTTATTTGTACGTGTCTCTGTGTCGAAACTTCCCTTTTCTATAAGGATATGAATCACATTGGACTAGGCCCCACCTTAATGATCTCATTTTAACTTGATTATCTCTGTAAAGACTCCCATTTTCATGGGAAAAAAGGAGACTCAAGTAATACTTTAAACAATAAAGAATTTAAATTAAAAAAAAAGACCACATTTACAAATAAAGTCACATTCTGAGGTACTGGGGGACATCAACATACCTCTCTTTGGGGGACCTAATTCACCCCATAACAAAAGTTGATATGCACAAAGGTAGGGAGGGTAGGATTAGCTAGTCAACCATGTCAGCCACACATACTGACAGGAAGGAAGGAGAATTTGATTGATGTTCCACCTGGTTCCTAATAACTTATTTTATATATTTCTTAAGTGAAAATTATAACTTGAATAATCAGAAAAGAGTCGTTTAAGTCCAAAAGGCACTGGTCCTTAAGTGACCCAAGTGGCTCTTTCTCCAGTTTAGGGCTCTCGTGTTTCCATTTGGCTCAAACTTAGTGCAAAAGAACCTCTGGTGAAATCAACAACAATTTGTCCTTGGGAAGTGAATGAATTCTTTTAGGCATTATTATTTCCCTCCCAAAAAGCAAGTTGCTTGGGTTTGAAGTGTGGTTTACTTCAGTGCCTTTTTTGTTTAAAAACAATCGAGGTATGTATTCTTTATTACATCTCCCCCCCTCCCCCCCATCCTCTACCTTTTTCTAGTGTCGAAATCCCTGGCACATTTTGCCCCATAGGGTATCAGGGGTATATTAATAGTCAAGACTAAGGAAAAGAAAAAGAGAGAAAGAACTGCGTCTTGATTCTTCAGACTTCTTGGTGTGACGAACATACCTCCAGCTTTGGTGGGACACATATGTTCATCAGGCACTGGCATCTGATGTTCCCAAGAACTGAATCAGATTAGAACATTCATTTATTTGGATACTTTTATGTAAATTTAGCTCTGGAAAAAAAAATCTTGGTGGTGTATCCACTGAGGTCTAAGTAAGCTTATGAAGCTGAGTTTTGATGCATAGAGTGTGGGGAGGTTCTCAGTTGTTTGATCCTCTCTGGACTCCGGAACCTTGAGGGGGCAGTTGGTGAATCTGCACAGTTCACCATCGACATCTCAATGGTTTTACAAGTTCTTCTCTGCTGAGTCTTTAAGGTCCATGGGACGCTCTTGGGTTCACACAGGGTGAGGATTCAGCACAGACCCTCTCATCTTTGATTCAACATGCTTGTCCGTTAATTTTCCTTCTCAGGAAGACTTCAGTCTCCATGGGCTGAAAATAAGTAGGGAAGCATGACGGACGTAGGACACAGGACACTTCCCAAAAGGTCCCTTGAACTCTGTATGACAAAAGCATAGAATTGACCAAAACAACATACTGCCGGAGTGATACTGATGATAAAAATGTATGCAGTGTGGTGAACTTAAATTGAGTATAAATACTGTGCTACTCAAATGATCTAAATTATCTCACCTAATTATCATAAAGTCTGCATGTTTCAAAGAGGTTAATTACTTACTTTGGTTAACACACTGGCAAGTAGTAGAGTTGAAATTTGAAACCAGGACGATCGGATACCTAAGTCCCTGTCCCACAGTCAGGTCTATCGGGTCTAGTAATAATTAATGTCGTTTTTAAACATTCGTTTAAAATCTTGCTTGGCGTTGACTTGTATTGACATAACCTTCAAACACGTGGTATCTACAGAACGTGTGAAGTGCAATTAACAAGTTTTGCTTGAAAAAGTTTGTGTTTGGTTTGGTTTTTGTTGCAAAACTAGGGCTAAGAAGATGGCGGATGAAGAGCATATTTGGCACTGCATGCTTTACGAGTTCCAATTAGGAAGAAAAGCAAGTGAGGCTGCAAAAAACATCTGTAGTGCTCTTGGTCAAGATGCAGCTAGCGCCAGAAAATGCCAGCGTTGGTTTGAGAAATTTCGCGAGGGAAATTTTTTGTTAGATGACAAGAGTGGTCGAGGCCGTGTGTCCAATTTTGATCAAGAAGCTCTTCAAGCTCTTTTGGTGCAAAATCCTCAAATTACCCAACAAGAGCTTGCGACAACTTTAAATTGTTCACAAAAAACAATTTCCAATCAATTGCGTGCACTTGGCAAAGTCCAAAAGTTTGGAAAATGGGTTCCTCATGAGTTGACCGACAACAACTGTAATCAAAGAGTCACAATTTGCAGTTCGCTCCTCTCTCGTCAAAACCGTTTGCCGTTTTTAGAGCAAATTGTTACCGGAGATGAAGAATGGGTGCTGTATGTTAATTTGAAAAGGCGGCCTCAATGGTTGGACAAAAATGAGGCTCCGCAGCCCACGCCAAAACCTGACTTGCATGCAAAAAAAGTGATGTTGTGTGTTTGGTGGAATTTTAAAGGAATTCTTCATTATGAACTTTTACCATCTAACCAAACCATTACAAGTGCAGTGTATAGTGCCCAATTGGAAAGGTTAGCCCAAGCTTTAAGAGAAAAAGAACCCGCGCTGATTAATTGGAAGGGCGTAATTCTTCACCACAATAACGCACGACCGCATACTGCAAGAATCACTGCTGAAAAACTGCGCCAGTTGGAATGGGAAGTTCTCCCTCAACCTGCATATTCTCCTGATACTGCCCCTTCCGATTACCATTTGTTTCGTTCTTTGCAAAACTTTCTTCTTGGAAAAAAATTTAATAATGAAGAATGCCTCAAAAATGCATTGACCGAATTTTTTGCATCAAAATCACAAGAATTTTACAACAGAGGGATTAAAATGCTTCCTGAGCATTGGGCACAAGTAGTAGAAAACAACGGCAACTATATTGTTGATTAAATTTTGTTGTATTGTTTAAATAAATTTGATTTAAAAAAGTATTAGAAAACGACATTAATTATTACTAGACCTATACATTAGAATGTCTTTCTTCAGGGACAGTTTCATTTTCATAGTCTAGCTTCTTGCAGTTGCTCAAGGTGTCATCTTCACACTGGAGTCTGTGGATTGTTTTCTATGGAAGACTTTTTTTTTTTTTTTTTGTCTCTGTTCTGCAGTGTGCTGATTGTCGCTAAGAGGTCACTCCGTTTCCCATCTCTCCAGATGAGGTTGTCTGTGTTTCCGTGGGATCGGAGAAGTGTTGAATGATCTTCAGGTAGAAAGACACCTTTCCCACATGAAGTTAAATGTGAAACCACATTTCCTGCTGCACTGGAATGTGCTGTATCATATGATATCATAAAACAGTCCCCAGGAGGCAGTATCTTGGGGACCGTGTTTGATGGCCAATGTTTTGTAGGTTGAACTTTCTACGTTGTACCAAGACAAGCATACCTCTCTCTTGCATTAAGATCAGATCTATCATTAGTTAGGATGGGAAATATGAAATGATGGTTCTCATATTCTGTAATGAAATTTGAAATGTCCTTGGGAAATATAATTTATTGGATGTGGCATTGAGCAGCTTCCCACAAATATTTGATTTCGAGCACCCCCAGAGATCTAGAATTAATGGAACCTTGAAAGCCATAGAAGTCCAGGATTAGAGAATTTTGAGGTCAAGTAGTCTATCATTCCTGATTAGAGCACTTCAACCCACCTCAGCACATTCTTAACTAACGATTGGCCATCTTCTGGCAAATGGGAATCTTGGAAAGATGCTTAAAATGTGAGGTAAAAGCAAAAAGATTAAATGGCAAATATAGTGTCACTCAATGATATTTGGTATGCATGAAATAAGTTATTTGAAAATATTAATAGTTGCTATCTCTGAGCAGTGAAATCATGGGAATTATTTGTGGCTGTTTTATGTATTTTTTTGTTCTTAATGGATCTTTTATAAAGGGCAAGCATTAATTTATAATTATAGGGACCAGGGAACATTTTTTTTTCTTACATTGAAGTGAATTCTTTTTCTGATTTATAACTATTGATCCTCAGCTTAAGCTCTGAGGGTAACTCAGAACAAATCCTAATATTTCAAAATATTTGAACACAGCTTTAATTTCTTCTTGCCTTTAAGCATGGTTGTTTATAAACAAGCAGAATTTGTTTTTTTTAAAAACTGAAGCGGTAAATATGAAACCATCAAGATACTTTAATTTCTGTGAGAATAGTACTGAGTATTATGTAAATAGCTATTACTTTCCCCCTCTTCTTGTGGAAAACAAACCATCAAAACAAAACAAAATTTATCACCTCACACTTGGTATTTTTATTGAATTGAACATTTTATGAAAACTGGATTTGCAAGGATCAATTTGAGTTTCTCAAAGTATACCTTTGGTTTGGGTAAGCTTATGTTCTTGGTTTAAGGGAAGATCAGGATAAAGAGAGCAACTTCACAGAAGGGAGGAAGCATTGGCCAAGTTAGGGGTCGTGTGAGTCTTGGGGCATTCAGCAGTAACCTTATGTTATAGGAGGGGAGATAATACTCACACTGATCTACCTGCTTGGACACTTCCATTGATCCTTTGCAGAATCACCTTATTAAAATAATTTTGACCTTTCACTTGTTCAGACGATAATATTGCCCCATAATTGTGTAGCCCAGGGGCAGCACCACTGACTAAGGTTAGTGAAAGAATAACCAAATCTTAGTAGAAAATGGAAAAGGAGCTTAAAGCAATACAGGGTGGGGCAAAAGTAGGTTTCCAGTTGTGAGTACATGAGACAGAGTTTATTATTGTATTATTATTTTTACTTTTTGTATTCTTTCCCATACTAGAGGCCTGATGCATGAAGATTCATGCAAAAATGGGCCTTCCTTCCTCTGGCTGCTGGAGCCTTCCCCTTCGCTCTAGCTGGAGTTGCCTTTCTTCCTTCCCATGCTGCCCAGAGGCCCAGAGCAGCTGGGGTGGTGTGGAATGCCTGTATTGTTGCCATGGCAATGACACAAGTGTCCTACCCTGCCCCCGGTCACTTGGCGCCTGAGTATGCAAATTAACCCACCATATTTGTTGGGTTGATTTGCATACTCACTGCTGATTGGCTGAGGGGCATCATGGAGGTATGGTCAATTAACATGTTACTCTTTTATTGGGTAGATGAACAGCTGTAAATTTACTTTTGCCCCACCCTGCAGCTTTGTGCTCTTGAATTCACTGATAACTTCTCATTGCTTATCAAGATGAACTCACTGCATAGTCTTTAAACCATTATATATGGTAGAAGAAGAATGATACTTACATATATTTTTTTGACACTTGTATAGGTTTTAAAAATACTATCTGTCTGAACTCTTTTTCCAACTAAGCTTTAAAATTCCCAAATTAATGGCAGTTTTAGGGGTAAATAACTTATCCATAAACATTTATGGAGTAACTTATTTGAGGAATTATATAAAAAATTAAAAAGGCTCAAAGTATTTTATTAGGTAATGGATACATATTTATTTCAATACATCAGTCAATTACCTGTTTCTTAGACCATTTTTTCTGAAGAATCTGGATGTTGTTGTTATAAATAATATGTTGTTTGCACTGAGCACTAGATTTTAACACTTTGGCGCATCTAAACCAAGTCTGCTTCTTGTTTTGTTTGTTTCCAGATGGTTTCCCAGCTTGAAGCCCAAATATCTGAGCTTGTTGAGCAGTTGGAAAATGAGTCTGGGTTTCACCAGAAAGCTCTGCAGAGAGCCCAGGAAGCCGAGCACAAGCTGGAGGCTCTTCGGGGTCAGCTGACACACCTGGAGGAGGAGCTGGTGTCTGGAGATGTTTTGCGGGACAACTTGAGTTTTGAGAAACAAAAGGTAGTAATCTGAGGGTTTGTCCACAGGTAGATACATCTGTTGCACTGTAGTATTTTACCTGAAATTACTGTGAAATTTTCAGCAATTCGATAGATGGTGGTTACGTACGTAACTCACGATTCATCTTAAGTGGCTCATAATTCAATAGAGGAGACAGTCATTCAAATAATTTGCTGTACTAAAAGCTGTAAGTGTATAATAGAGATACTGATTAAGAAAGAGCAATAGAAGCCCAATGAAAAGAGTGAGAGCTTCTATATAAAGGGATGATTTTATAGGAAGATGATAGTTGAGTTGATCATTGAAGGATAAGTAGCATTTTAGTGGGGAGAAGGGACAGATTTCACAGGTGACTTATGTGAAGGGCTTTAAAGAATAAGTAGGAATTTGACTGGCAGAAGAGTTGGGGAAGGGATCTGGGGCAGAGGGAACAGCAGGAGGGATGAAGGAAGGGAGGTGTGACTGGACTGTTTAGAAGAGGAATGAGGCACAAAGAGACTGGCCGAGGCCAAAGGTGGGAGGTGGCTCTGGAGGTAGGTAGGGATAATTGAGGTAAGTCAGGCTCATTCCTGGAGGCTTTATCCTATAGGTAATGGGGAAGGGGGGGGGAGGGAATGGGCGTTTTGAGGAAAAGAAAAGGGTTTTCTGAAGGCAGAATGTCTCTGAAGGTCCAGACACTAAAGGTAAGGAGCCCAGTTGGGATTCTTAGAAAGTTCAAATCAGAAGATAATAGGTTGCAGGTTTGATTCCTGGTCAGAGCATGTTTCTTTATCACATCAATCATTTTCCTCTCTCCTTCCCTCCCCTTCTCCCCTTTCTTCCTTCCTTTTTCTCTAAATTCAATAAACATACACTTGGGTGAGGATTAAAAAAACAATGGATTGCTTCAGTTGTCAGGAATTTATATTTATTTCAACATGAAATTGCCTGAGTTATTGCCATTGGGAAGAAAATCGCAAAGATGGAACCCGAATCATGAAATGATGATACAGAAAGCACATTGATCCATTTGGTTATCCAGCAAGTACTTAGTAGACATTTCTCTACATCTGGCATGGCCAGCTTAGCCACAGAAATCAAGGAGAGGAAGGTCCCAGAACAGTTTTGTCACTTTAACCTGCTAAAATGTGAACTTTGACCTTCCTGATAACGTCTTCATTTTGGAGTGTTGTTCCTTTAACTATAGGATACATTCACAATTCTTAAAGACCTTTTCTAAAGCAAAAATGCTGTCCAAGGTTGTTTGTATGGAGAGTGGTGTGGCAACTGGTTAAGTCCTCATTTTCCACTTTGAGGCCTGGGCCACATGGGGTGGGAAAACTCTCCATGGAAGGTCTGGAGGGGTGGATGCCTGGGGCTGGATTAGCCTAGCAGGGGCGTGGTAGCAGCAGCATGTAGCAAAGCAGAGAGATGGAGGAATACTTGGGAGCATGCACACCTGTCACATGGCAAGGTTAAGAAGAGAGTGCGGTGTTAGATTGAACATCAAAGTCACTGCCCAGGAGAGTCAAGAGAATATGGTCAAGGAACAGGACATGGAGCTGGTAGGGCGGGTCAGGAATTCAGTACCAAATTTTAGTGTTGAGGAGCCGGGCACCTACTGGTTTAATGAGAACTCCCTGTCAATGTGGGGGAAAGGGGAGGATTGTGTGAGATTGCCTGTTAACTTTATTTTTGTGTCCCATTTTCATTTTTGTTCTTGGGTTTAGTATCTTAAATTTCTGGACCAGCTCTCAGAGAAAATGAAATTGGACCAGATAGCTGCTGAACTCGGCTTTGACATGCGTCTAGATGTAGTTTTAGCTCGCGCGGAACAGCTGGTACGCCTTGAGAGCAATGCCGTCATTGAAAATAAGACCATCGCCCACAATTTACAGAGAAAGGTAGGAGAGTGGAAACTTGCCAGTGTTGAGAGAATGAATATCTGTGAAACTTCAATATTGAGATATAAATTACTGCCACAATATTTCCAACGTGGCCAGGAAACATGATTATAATAATATGTGTTTAGAATATGTTTCAAGTCTGAGTGATGGCAGTGTATCACCTAAGGTTTTGTTAGACTGTGGTAATAAAGACCCAGAGTAACAGTGGCTTAAACGAGTAGAAGTGTTTTACTTTTTTCTTCTGTTGCATAAATTCCTGGAAGTAGGCAGCTTAGGGCTACTACAGCTCAGCTCCGTGAAGTTTTGAAGAAACCCAGCTCATTTAAGCTCATTAATCACCCATCCCCAGGGTGGTCCTTATCCTCATGCTTAAAAATAGTTTTTAGAAATATTATATCTGTGTTCCAGCAAGGAAGTGGGAGAAGGAAGGGATGTAGGAGAGAGATGCAAAAGTGCAGACATGAGCTGTCTTAAAGGAGGTTCCCAGAATTGCTACATGTGTTTATGTCCCATGGAATATGTGCTGATGGTTAAATCTAGCTGCAAGGGAGTCTTGAAACGGTAACCTTTACTCTGGCTAGCCATTTACATAGCTGAAAAATTTACTGTTTCTATAATTATGGGAGAGAAGAATTGGTGAACAGTTAGCCGTCTCTGCCTTTATAAAAGCTCTATTAGATTAGAAAATAGAGAGAGAAGAGATTACTTTTCACTCACTCAAAGGGAGAGTTAGAAATAGTTTAAATAAATGAATGCATGAAAAGGATAAAATATAATTATTAGTTATGTAATTATTGGCATTGGGGAAGGAAAAAGGAGAACACAAATGTATCCTTGTAATAGTTCTTAGGAGAAAATTCTGTGGTAGAGTTTCAGTGTGCAGGCCATGTAATGAGTCCCAGCTGGTTCCCAGTTTGGCTCCACCCAGCTCTGTGACCTTGGGAAGTTGCATTCCTCTCTTCCTCTCCTCATATTAAAGATGGGGATGATACCTATTTCAGGAGGTCGTCAATTTTTAATAAATAACATTTTGAACTCTTGGCTCATAGAAAATGCTCTATTTACATTTGACTTCCTCTCCATGTACTGTATCTTTGGGAATATTTTAAACAGAAAGGAGACAACCCCTGTTACCATTAGTGACATTAAATGGAGCTACAATTTTTTCTGAAGTTTCCCTCAGATAACTGAATTTTTTTTTGTCACTATCTAATACCATTTTTCTTAAGTCTTGTGTAATTATTAAAATTACAGAACTAGCTAGTTTAAATTTGCAATAGAGTGGACTTCAATATGAAGAAGCTCAAGGAAGGGAGGTTAGTTAGAGAAATATTGAAAGGGCCATGATACAAAGGGTTCCAGGCAAGGACATTGCTGTCACCGTTAGGCAAGATACTCTAGCCCACATTTCCATTAGTTCTTCACACCTTTGAACACTTAACAAATGCAGAGTCAGTAATGAGGGAAAATGTGCCCTAGCCGGTTTGGCTCAGTGGATCGAGCGTCAGCCTGCGACCCGAAGTTCCCGGTTCGATTCCTGTCAAAGACACGTACTGACCTGGGCCCTGGCAGGGGCTCATGCAGGAGGCAACCAATCGATGTGTTTCTCTCACATTAATATTTCTGTCTGTCTTTCCTTCTCTCTTCCACTCGCTCTAAAAATCAATGGAAAAATACCCTCGGGCGAGGATTAAAAAAACTAATAATAATAATTAGGGAAAATGTGACGTTCCTCAGCTCTAACATTCTATAATTCTACACGATTCTCATTCCTAATTTTTGTAACAGATGAAAGAGGTTTCTATACTTAATATTCCACTCACTAATTGTGACACGTGACGCCCATGAGGACTTTTTTCTCCTCTTAGAGCCCACAGTCTTTTCTAAAAAACACCCTAATTTCCTTCATCAAGTTTAATTGTTAGTGATAAGTGCTGTTTCAGGACCTGCTTGGTTTGTGGATGGTATAGGCCAGGCATGTAATAATGACACCAAAGAACTCAAACTTTCCTCAAGTCCCTTCTATTTCTAAGATGTTAAATATATAAACAAAGCTTTAAAAAATTTTCCCTGGCATCACTTATTCTGAACAATGTTCCTAGGTATCACTTACTTAAAAAATATGTGAACTTTAAAGGAAGCTAGCCTACTCACAGCCTGAGGGATGGAGACGAGGCAGTCTAAGTTTTTGGTGCTAATTTGTACCCTGTCTTCTTTTAGGAAAGACCAGGGCAAGTAGAGTGGCTGTGGGGTGTTGGAGAGGATTTTGTCTCTCTGTTTTACTATATTCTGCCCCTGATAAGCCATTTTAGTTGTATTTAAAAAAATATATTTTTAGTGATTTCAGAGAGGAAGGGAGAGGGAGAGAGAGCTAGAAACATCAATGATGAGAGGATCATAGATCGGCTGCCTCCTGCACACCCCACACTGAGGATCGAGCCCACAACCTGGGCATGTGCCCTGACTGGGAGCCAAGCCTTGACCTCTTTGTTCGTAGGTTGTTGCTCAACTAACCATTGAGCCCCACCAGCTGGGCTCCTTTTCATTGTCTTAAAGGAAATTTCTCATTTTTATTAGATGAACATTATGTTGGAGGCAGTCAGGTGTTGAAAAATGCTTATTTCTCTGTGAATTTTTCTCTGGCGGTTCGATCTCATACTTTGCAGCTACAAAATTAATTCTTCAAAAGATAGAAATAAAAATGCAATCAGGAGAAGGAACCTAGTACCATTTTTAAAAAAATGATGTAGACAGCAGGCTTATTGGAGTGAGGATAAAGATCAAGATTATTTGAGTAAATCATGTATGTTTATTGGCGTTCAATTCAAAACTCCTGTTTGTGCCAAACCAGCTCAAGACCCAGAAAGACAGACTGGAGAGCAGAGAACTGCACTTGAACCTCCTCCGGCAGAAGATAGCGCAACTGGAGGAGGAGAAGCGGCTGCGGACAGGCCTGGCTGTGGAGAGGGACGAGGCCAATGTCGCCTCTAGGAGGTTACAGAAGCAGGTGGAGAGGCTGCAGAAGGAGCTGAGCGCGTGCCGGGAATCGAACACTGAGCTCAAAGCCAAACTGGCTGACACCAATGAGCTGAAGGCGAGTGCTCAGCTTCGCTCTCTGGTTGCTTTTTGCTTCTGCGAAAGGGTGCCAGTCTCATCATGGACACACCAGAAAATAAGATGGAAACTTCCCCTGATTTTCTAGAGTTGTGGGAAAAGTGCAAACATTACACACGTCAGCATATTAGCTCAGTTTAGTGGCTCTTTCATATTTGAAATAGAGCTGCAGTTGCTTGCTATGGGAAAAGTCACTCAAACAAGGTGGTGTTAAGTCCAGAAATTAAAAACACTTCTTTAAAATGAGGGCGGTGGTGATTTTAGGGGTCATGAGGGGTTTCATCATGTAGGAATTTGTGAAGGAAGAAGTAAGGAGAGGCAGGCAGTTGTGAGATGTTGGTCCCTGGGAGATGAATTGTATCAAGTATCCAGGAGGGTATATACAATAGATTGGGTGATGTGCTTCTTGGATTTGAGGTGTCCGATTTCCAGTGAATACAGAGAAGAAAGGAACTAAAATGTAAAATAATTTGGTCAAAATAGTTCGATGGCATGAATATGTAACTTCTGTGCACAGGTTATATTTTAAATGTTATTACTTGCAAGTCACCAGTAGGATGACCGCGTTGTCCTGGCTCCCTGCAGGCCAGTGCACTCACTGGTGAAGTCAGAGACATTTCCCCAGAAAAGCGCTGCTGTAGCCCCTCCTCACAGCAGTGATGCAGCTGGCAGAGGGCAGGGAGGCAGGCTTCCTGCGGTAAAACACACGCAGAGGGGACGTTGTGGTCCTCCTAATGCGTCCAAACCAGGCGTGACCCATTGGAAGAAGCAGAAAGAGCCCTGGGAGCTCATGGAATCTGCACATAGGAACCAGCAGGCTTCATTTTATTTTTATTTTATTTTTTAAAATTTAAAAAAATATGTATTTCTTTATTGATTTCAGAGAGGAAGGGAGAAGGAGAGAGAGATAGAAACATCAATGATGAGCGAGAATCATTGATCAGCTGTCTCCTGCAGCCCCCCCCGCCCCCCTACTGGGTGTTGAGCCCGAAACCCAGGCATGTGCTCTTGGCTGGAATCGAACCTGGGACCCTTCAGTGCACAGGCCGATGTTCTATCCGCTGTGCCAATCTGGCTAGGGACAGCAGGCTTCATTTTAATATTCAACTCCAGAATCATGCTATTTACCATTTTCTCTCATTGATTTTCCAAATAATGGTACTCTGATATGTTTTTTATAAACTATAACTGTTTTAAGACATGTTCATTCCACACATACGCTTGACGAAGTTTATATAAAGATTTCATTCTTTACTCATAAAAAAGTTATGAGTTCAGTGAATTTCACAGACCTCTGACTTATTTATGCAGTTTTTCTAAGTAAATACATGAGAGACGATCAGCATTCTCTTGTCTTCTTAGATTAAAACTCTGGAGCAGACCAAAGCCATTGAAGACCTCAGTAAATCCAGAGACAAACTGGAAAAGATGAAGGAGAAGGCTGAGAAGAAGCTCATGTCTGTCAGGTTGGAACTTGACACTACCGAGCACGAGGCCCAGGAGGACAAAGCCAGGGCCAGGAACACGATAGAGGTGGTGACCAGTGAATTGAAGACGCTAAGGAAATCCCTGGAGGAAGCGGAAAAGAGGGAAAAGCAGGTGGGTAGACGTCCGGTGATGAAACCTTCCTATGTAGGAAAGATAGGACAATCCCAAAGCTTGATCATTATTCACACATTTCTTCATAAACTATTTATAGAACTTTTTTATTTATTTAATTTTTAACTCATTTCAGAGAGGAACAAGAGGGAGAGAGAGATAAAGACATAAATGATAGGAATCATTGATTGACTGCCTCCTGCACGCCCCACACTGGAAATTGAGCCCACAATCCGGGCATGTTTCCTGATGGGAAATTGAAATGTGATCTCTGGTTCATAGGTTGATACTCAACCACTGAGCCATGCCAGCCAGGCAGTTTACAGAACTTTCTATATCATTTCAACATCTCTGCCTGCTATCTAGCATCTTTTTTGACATTAAAAGAACCATCATGATTTATTCTACAAACAAAAGTAATTCCCATTTTCATGGCATGGATTGTAGGAAAGAAAAAGACATTCTTATCAAGGCAGTGGAAAGCCTATGAAAAGCCAGGTTCTGGTTATGGGGAGGTTGTTATGATGCTCGCTGATTGCTCCTGGAGGTTGCATCATCCCACATCTTCTGATGGTCACCAGGCTTCAGCGCCGGGAGGTCATGATAAACCTCATCTCCAGAGAGATCAGCTGCAGGAAACAATCTCCAACAGTGGCACCTAGATCTGAAGGCCAACCAAACCCAGATGTAAACCATAAAGCAGGTCTTATTTGCTGGCTAGTTCAAGGAGGAGAGTGTTATCTGGTGAGCACATCAAGAGGTCAGGCAGGAAGAAGCATGTCCCGGGCAGCCTGACCCCCAATGCTTTGGCTTTCATCTCACTCAGTCTGGTGCTCTAAGGGCTCAGAGTGGACTCTGGTCCTAGGATATTTTTCTCTCTGGCTGCCTCTGCTCTGGCTCATGTGTCAGGCAGAGTTGAGGAAGGCCAAATGACGCGTGAGCGCTCTCCGAGTCAAACCACTCCAGAATTAAGAGCTTTGGCCATGTTTGAAAGGATGGGGAACTTCAAGCAACCCTTTTCATCAGGGAGACAAGGCTGAGAAAGCGTTATGTTTCCCAAATTGGACTCAGCGTAGGGAGAAGGTTGGGAAGCGAACGAGCATAAGGTGGGAATGTTTGGAAAGTAGGTCTGGGTGTCATATCTGTCTTCAGGTTAGATCACACCTCTCCTAAGATGGAAGGCACCTCTAGTGAGGTGTCGCCCAGCTGTCCCTGATTTATCTGCTTCTGCTTCAGCCTAGGATCACCAACCAGTCTATGAGAATTCAAAGGGGTATAAGGCACATTTCCACCATTGTCTCCAGTCCTTGTTAGGTTATGGTGGTGATCTGTCTGATGCGATTTGAGCATCATTTAGAAGCTCTTCTGTTGCCATGAGCTCATAACTTTCTTGCCATTTGCCCTTCCTTTAGTTTGAGAGGTACATTCTAGGCCCGGAGATAGGTCTGTAGTTATTCCTACCTTGGAAGTGAGAAATGAAATCTTAGTTAGGTCAGAGCCTTAGGTCAGAGTCTTGTTCACGGTTGCTTAATTGGATTCTTGACTTGGTAGCCAATACCACATTAATTGGCTCATCAGAAAAGAGGTTATGAAATTGCTGAAGGTTGGTGCCTGTAGAGGTAATTTAGTAGGCTAGTCTTCCTATTTTATAAATGAGAGAACTGAGGTTAATGAGAGTAAGTCACTTACCTGCCTCAGGCACACCTGGATTTTCCATGATTTTTGATATTGCATTTGGCTCAGCGGTAGTTGACACATTTGCTCTCTCAGTTACTGTGTTTCTGTTTGATATTCCAGCTGGTGGACTTTAGGGAGGTGGTTTCCCAGATGTTGGGCTTGAACATGACCAGCCTTGCTCTTCCTGACTATGAAATCATCAAATGTCTTGAAAGACTGATCCATTCCCATCAGCATCACTTTGTCACCTGTGCTGGCCTCAAAGATGTGACTATCAGGCAAGACAGGCACCTGCAAAGCCACTGAAAACATCTTCATTGAACACCGGATCTCTTGAGGAGCTAAGGCATGGGACACGATGCTCAATTGACAAATTCTCCAAACGTTTGAAATTTGATCAGTAGGTGAATATTCTATACTTTGGTGATAGAGTGAGGATCCATCATTGACAACAAAGAATCTCAAAGGTAGATAAATGTTCACCACTAAAAACACCTAGTATTTCATATGTTGGTACTTGGGGATCCAGAAGAATTCCATGAGATTGCATATCTAGGATGAGAATTGTTGGTAGAGAATTACTACTCATGGGGTATCTCTTATGATTTACTACCCAACTTAATTCTCATAACCACCACAGAGAGAAGCTTTAATGTTTTTATTTCACAACCTCTCTGGGGCTCAGAGAGGGTGTCACCTTCCAAGATTGCAATTGCTGGTTGGTGATAGAACCAAGAGAGATTCTATGTTGACTCTATGCCGTGTCTTCTCTGCTACTCCATGATCCTCCAGTTTCTCCTGGCTCCCTGTGTTCTGGGTGACAATTGCCTGCAAACAATCAAGACTTGCAGTTCAGAAGTAATGAAGGTTTATGAGTGTAATCCATATGATTTCTTTAAAAAAGCAATGTACCTAATTATTTGGATAAGACATGCATAGTCTGAGGTCCTATAAGAAACCTTGTGTTTTCAAATGTTGCTGCCAGATTGCATTAGGTGGTAATTTAAAAAAAATATATATATTTTATTGATTTTTTTTACAGAGAGGAAGGGAGAGGGATAGAGAGTTAGAAACATCGATGGGAGAGAAACATCCATCAGCTGCCTCCTGCACACTCACTACTGGGGATGTGCCCGCAACCCAGGTACATGCCTTTGACCGAAATTGAACCTGGGACCCTTCAGTTCGCAGGCCAATGCTCTTTCCATTGAGCCAAACCAATCAGGGCTAGGTGGTAATTTTTTAATGTTTGAACAGGGCTGATCTCAGTACTTTCAAAATGGAGCAGTTAATATGAAATTGATGATATGAAGACAGCCTACACAGTTTTATTTACCAATATATCAAACAGTCATAGCAAGTATACTTCTTTAGAATCCGGATTTTATTATGAATTTCTCTCACTTTACTAGTATGTCTTCTTTTTAAATTTTGATTTCACAGATATTTTTCAAGAATTTATAGTATATATTTTTTAATTTCAAAGAGAAAAACGTGTTACTCTTTTGGATGATTATCATATTTCTGCCACATCAATTTTTTTCAGACCTTGAGAAAAGCCTTGGTGTCTAATTAAAGGAGAGGAAAAAGTAGATTATAACCAAATATTAAAAGAAAATGAAAAGTCTAGTTCAGCTGGCATGACTCAGTGGTTAAGCATTGATCCATGAACCAGATGGTCAAGATTCACTTCCCGGTCAGGACACATGCTCAGATTGCAGACCTGATCCCTAGTGTGGGGCATGCAGGTGGCAGCTGATCAATGACTTTCATCGTTGACATTTCTATCTCTCTCCCCCTCTTCCTTCTCTCTGAAGTTAATAAAAAATATTTAAAAAAAAGTCTAGATGAGAGGAAATGAGTTTGACACTTGCAGGTTGGATGACAGGCCACACAGAGGGAGAGTGACCAAGGATGGCCTCAGGGGTGTCATCTCTGCCACCTTCTTTTTCATGAGCAAGGACAATATGAAGTAGTGTTTCACAACTGAGGAAACATGGCTGCCCAGCCCTGTGAGAACAGGAGCGAGGTGTGCATCAGCAGGAGAGGCAGCCTCAGTTTCCCCGGGGAAGGCCTACAGTCTCTGGAGGTCCCCACATGTAGTCCAGATGTGTGGCTGCTGCTGTGGACCCACACTCAGCCACAGTGGAGGCAGCGGCTGCACCTCTGGGTGCCTGGAGGATGGGGATGCTGAGAGGCCCTGTGTGGGCCAGACCACAGAAAGCAGTCGTGGTGGTGGTGGGAGCGGGGATAGGAACATTGATTTTGTACATTCTCCAAATAGAATATTTAATGAACCTTTTATTTTCTCTGTTAATTTATTTCCACACTATTCAAAAATACATCTAACAACATCACTTTAAAAACATATGCTGTTATAATGTTTTCCCATGTTTGATTTAACAGTTACTTATATAGCATGTTTCTAAAAAATGTATACACACTTTAACAGCTGATAGCTTAATTTTGAAAATGCAATGCAGTTTAATAAACATGGCCTTTATAATTAGTCAAAGTATCTGTATACGTTTTTTGGGAGACACCCTATATTTATAGATTTCTATGAGGCTAAGAATGGTCCATCGTCACTAGTACAGCACTTTCTCCTTATTACACAAAATTCATTCCATTTATCTGAATATATGTTAATATAACATTCCCAATATGTGACTCAATCATATACACAATAATCTTTAACACATATATAAAAATTAAAAATGTCTGAACATAACCCTTATAGATTTCTGATAGAAAGCATATGTGGGATAAGAAAAATAGATTCTGTCCGTGTATGTAATCCACATGCACATTAACTATCTGTGCTTTGGCCAAATCGAGAATCCCTTTAATCAAGCCAAGTCTTCCTGGTTAAATTGCCTGCTGGCTGTTGGCTTTGCCTTGGTGCATCTGTTCTAGAATTGGCAGCCAGCTTCACATTCTTGTGTCAGACTATGTTCTTCCATAATTTTCATGTATATTTTATGTTGCCCAATAAAATGCATTAGGTTGATGTGACTTTTCCAAATAAGAGTTTAAAAATACTTAACACAAATTCTTCTACCCAAATATACTTGAGCGATAATTGCTACTGAGGTCATTATGCTGGTCATTGTTGAGATATTTAAATAATTACATGAAGTATCTTGGGGAGAAAGTTAACCTGATTTTATCTAAATTTCAATTTTACCTCATGGTCTGTCTTTTAGATGAGTAGTGAGTGATTCCAGGTCAAGGTGTGGTGGGCTTAAAAGGAAGAGTGTATTATTGATATGGCAACAATACTTAGGACTTAGAAACAGAAACTAACTTTCCAGGGGAAGCATTTCATGGTTACACAACACATCTTTGACCAGGAAGGCTCCATCTACTTTATGCAGCAGTGATTTATCCACATGAGTGCACATCCAACTTTTCATCAGCAAGCAGGGTCTGCATGCTTCTCTTTCTCCTACGCAGCCTCCATATAGTTATTCCTTTGCCTTATCTTTATTATTTTTTCTTTTTGTTTTTTGTTGTTCTTTTGCCTTTTCTTTAGTTTCTTGGCCTTCTCAGCTCTTGTACCTTTCTATGTTTTGTTTCAGCCACTCACACCCTTGACTGCAGGTTACAGATCCAATTTAGACTACCTTAAGCCAAAGAGAGAATTGGGGGGAGAGTCATTTGAAAGATGCAGGGGTAGATGAGGTTCAGCATGGCTAGATCCAGGGATTTAGAATTCTCTGGATTTTTGCTTCTGTCCGTCTTCCACCTCTGCCTGGTCAGCTTGTCTCTGCACGTTGGTCTCATTTTCTCCTTCTGCAAAGCAGTGCTCTGTGCTGCCAGGAAAGATGCTCACAAGCAGCTACACGGTCTTTCTAGCTCAGGAGCTGAGAAAAAGGAGACTCTCTGCCTCCAACATCCATGAAAGAAATCTCAAAGAAGAATCTGATCTAAGCTTTGTCATGTAGCCACCCCTGGACCACACACTGTAGGTAGCCAGGAGATGAACTCACTGGTCTGTGTCCCATGCCAACCCAGTGAGGGCTGGGTGGGGTGAGGCCCCAGGATGAGCTGTTCACCTAGAAGCACATATGACAGACAGAAAGTCCCCCAAAGCAAGAGAAACTGGACAGACATTCAATCTGCATCTGGGACAGATGGTCAAATTCAGGGTCATCTAATCCCCTAGAATTTCTCTGCCTCTGAAGTCTTAACCTTGTATCATCCCAGACCTTTTTTCTTACTCCCAAATTGCTCTTCTTTGAGATTCCTTGGTCCTCATATGATGTTCCTACTGGCCTTGTCCATCCCCACTCCATCGGCCGCCCGTGTGGATATTACTGTTCATTTTTTCAATCACCTCCTTCCTAACCCTTAGACTCCCCTTTCCTTTGCCCATCTATCTTCACATTTGAATTAATCCCAACTACCAATGTTTCTGCTCCTTTTCCTGCCCACTGAATGAGACTGGAGGAAATCACAAAATCACAGCTGAGTTTCACACTAACTGCGTGGGCTTGGGTCTCACTGGAGCCCTCTGTACTGAATGGTAGTCATTCACCCTTTTCCAGGCGAGATTTCACTGCCATTTTCCAAAGTGATTATTGCAAATATTCTTCTCTGCCTCGAGGCTCTTCCCCTGTCTCTTTCCTCTTCATTGTCAGCAGATAATCTCATGTCCTATTTCACTCAGAAAATAGAAGCCATTACAGGAAATACCTTTCATATCAGATCCCAAGATGGCCTGCTATGTGTCCACACCCAACCTTGCTCTGCTCCCTCTTCCTGTCTCAGGTTATTGCCTCAACCTGCTTCCACCTGGCCACTTGCAGCCTCAGTCGCAACCGCAGTTTTCCACTCTTCTCAAATGTTTTCAACCTCACCTATGTTAATGGCTTATTTCCACCTGCATTTAAATACGTTTAGTGAAACCTAGATACTTTTATTAACCAATGTCACCCCAATAAATTCAATAAAAAATTTAAAAATATATTTAAATCTCTCACTTAAAAAAAAAAATCACTCCCTCTACTCCACAGCAAGTTCTACTAAGAGCCTCGTTTCCCTCTTTCTCTTCGCAGCTGAACCACCTGAAAGTGTGGTTGATGTTTCTGCCTTTCTGGTCTTACCTCCCATTCCTTTAACCACTTGTTACAACCTGGCTTCCATCTGTCTCCACTCACTGAGGTCTCTCATTGCTGTTAGCAAACCCCTGTCACGTTTTAAGTGCCTATATGGCCTATCTTTGTGTAATGTTGGATACAATTGACCATATCCTCCTTTTTCTTCTTTTTTTTTTTTTTTTTTTTTTTTTTACCATATCCTTCTTGAAGATTCTCTTCCATTAGCTTCAATGATGCTTTATTCTTTTCTCTCTGGGTGTTGGAGTGAGATTATTTTAAGGTTGCAGGAAACAAAACAAAACAAAGAGATTAACACCAGGATAAGTGTGGGTGTAAGTATGGGTGGGAATCCCAGAACCCAGTGAAGAAGGGTCCTACGTCCTGAGAACTGGAGGGCTGAATGCACGGTGCAGTGTGGCTCTCAGCCCGTTCCCTTCCCCTTCCCACAGATGCATGACATCTCACCTCTCTGCCTCTGCTCCTGTGCCTCAGCTGATGCTGCCCTCACCTCTCCTCTTCTTTTCTATGTTTAGTTATCTTCTGCTCATTATTATTGTTTATTACATTACTATTTATTATTGCTCATTCTCAAGGCCCTGGTCTGTGTGTTCCCCACTACTGCCCGGCTCTCCCGTGTGTCTTTCCATTTCTGCTCCCACCATGCAGCTCCTCTGTGCTCCTCCTCCAGAGGGAGCCTGGCCAGTGAAGCAGCCGCTCTTCAGTGTGAGGTGCGTCTGGAGAGCAGCCCTTTTGCCTCATGCTGCTTGGCAGGCCAGTGATAAGCTGGCAGATGAGGTTCCCTTAAGTCAGGCACCCATTTTCCATGCAGTCGACTGGGATCACAGAAGTGGGGTCTCATGTCTGTCTCCTGAGTGTCGGTGTCCCACAGTGTTCAGTGCTGGGTCCCCTGTCTCTCACACTGTACACATTCTCCAGTGCATTGGCCTTGTGACCTCGGCACTCGAGGACGTGTTACTCATCTCCCGTGTCTGTTCCCTCATCTGTGAAACAGATACCTGTTATGGGTTGAATTATGTCCTCCCAAAAGATGTTGTAGTCTCAAGGCAACTGGTGTCCTTATAAATAGAGGGCATTTGGACACAGACATGCACACAGGGAGAATGCTGCATGCAAATGAAGGCAGAGATGGGGTGATGCAGCTCTAAGCCAAAGGATGCCAGAGAAGGACAGTGTGGCACCAGAAGCCAGAGACAGGCATGCAGCAGAGCCTCCGAACCAACCCTGCCGACACCGTGTCTCAGAGTTCCGACCTCCAAGACTATGAGGTAATATTCCTGTTGTTTAAGTCACTCAGTTTGTGTAACTTTGTTAGCACAGCCCCAGGAAACTATACACGGTCTTAGAAGATTGCTGTGAGGATTAAATAATGTAAAGCATTTGAAAATATCCTGGAACGTAGGTAGTACTCAATACATGCTAGCTAATATCGTTTGTTGTAGCAGTATCCAGTTCCTGCAGGTTTGTTTACTGTGCTTGGCCCATAGTTGATGCTCAAAGAGCATTTGTTGAATGTCTGATTGAATCAGCAAATGGGATGG